AGGTTCTCATTGAGACTACATTAAATCAGACTGTGACAGTGTAGGTTCTCATTAAGATTATATTAAATCAGACTCTGACAGTGTAGGTTCTCATTAAGACTACATTAAATCAGACTCTGACAGTGTAGGTTCTCATTAAGACTACATTAAATCAGACTCTGACAGTGTAGGTTCTCATTAAGACTACATTAAATCAGACTCTGACAGTGAAGGTTCTATTAAGACTACATTAAATCAGACTCTGACAGTGAAGGTTCTTATTAAGACTACATTAAATCAGACTCTGACAGTGTAGGTTCTCATTAAGACTACATTAAACCAGACTCTGACCTTTTCACTGCCCAAGAACGTGTGTGTCCCCCAAAGTTGTTTTCACAAGTATGTACTCAAAGTGTTGAATATGAATTACTTGAGTGAAGGTTTGTAAGGACAGGATTTATCTGTGAATAATTTGTGGACAGCAGGAATATATACTAGTTCAAAGTGGTAATAATTATTGTCCCATGTTTATCAAAACTGTATAATGTAGTAATGTCTGGGTGCACGTTTGAAAGAGTTGTGTGACATAGTAAGTTTAGACCTATATTACCCATGTTGTGTGTGTTCTAATAAGGCTTGGACTCATGTTTACCAAAGGAAAACAACATAATTACCCATGTTGTGTGTGTTCTAATAAGCCTTGGACCCATGTTTACCAAAGGTATATAACATAATTACCCATGTTGTGTGTGTGTGTTCTAATAAGGCTTGGACCCATGTTTACCAAAGGTATATAACATAATTACCCATGTTGTGTGTGTTCTAATAAGGCTTGGACCCATGTTTACCAAAGGTATATAACATAATTACCCATGTTGTGTGTGTTCTAATAAGGCTTGGACCCATGTTTATCAAAGATATATAACATAATTACCCATGTTGTGTGTGTGTGTGTTCTAATAAGGCTTGGACCCATGTTTACCAAAGGTATATAACATAATTATCCATGTTGTGTGTGTGTGTTCTAATAAGGCTTGGACCCATGTTTACCAAAGGTATATAACATAATTACCCATGTTGTGTGTGTTCTAATAAGGCTTGGACCCATGTTTACCAAAGGTATATAACATAATTACCCGTGTTGTGTGTGTGTGTTCTAATAAGGCTTGGACCCATGTTTACCAAAGCTATATAACATAGTAAGCTGAGGCTTATACACATATAAATTGAAAAGGACAGAATATATAAATATGTCTTAAAAACTCTTTTCTCTGTTCTAGCTTGTCATTCTTCACCTTATATCAGAGTTTACTGTATAGTATTAGTTATATATATACTCACTCTTTAAAAGTTAGTTTTAACAATATTTTGGCATTACAACTAATATTAAAGACTTTTAAAATTTTCAGGCCTAAAGTTACTCTGACAAATCTGAAAAATTGGTGGAAAAATGAAAGACAAAGAGAACGTAAACGACATGGAATCAAGTGCCGTACACGCTCCAAGCAGATAAAAAATCAAGAAGTTATGAGCCAAGCACCTGAACCTCATCCTATAATGGCAGATACAAGGTCTCAAATTTTAGAGATTCAACAAAACACAAACTTTAATCTAACTTGATCAGATGTGTAGAAAATGTGTTTTTGTCTTCAGCTAGAACTGGTTCATTCAAAAAGATTTTTTTACAAGGTCAACTTAGTGATGTCCCGAGGAAAGAAGACGACAAGTAACCAAACAGGAGACGTTTCTCCTATTCCAAATGCAGTAATTACCGTTAAATTAATCAAAAATATGTTAATAATGTCAAGTCTTTTTGTAAATGTTTTCAGTTTGGTTTAATTTCTAGAACAGTTGACTTGTCAGATAACTGTCTTTGTGATCTGCTTGTAGTGGCTTAACTATCTTCATTAAGGTATCAATCATTAGTAAGCAAAAAACCATTGAACTTTTATTGTAAAATATTTGTTCACATACTTTTGTAGCTTCCTTTACCTTTATGTCCTCATAATTATGACTTGTCTTCGTAGGTTAGTGTCTACTAAGGTTCAAATCATACACACACACACCAGGAACTATATGAATTGTAGTCAGATGTCATGGCAGACTACTCTGATTTGAATAAAATGTGCTTCGTATAACCTCAGAGCACTTTAAATATGGAAATAAGTTATTTTTGGAATCACAGTTTGAATCATCAAGTCATGGCTCAATAAGTAAGCTGATAATTAGAAACACGTTAACTGCAGGGTAATGTTTTATATATGGAATCACAGTTCGAAACATCAAGTCATGGCTGAATAAGTAAGCTGATAATTAGAAACACGTTAACTGCAGAGTAATATTCTATATATGATAACTCCTCATAATTTCTGAAGCTCTTTAATTAGCTAGTTTCAGTCAAACATATGCAGTTAAAACTCCCAACACCCATGATTTTTACATTAATTACAACACTTTTAATAAAAATATTGGTATTCAGCTGTGAACAGCTAAAGCAATTAATGTTAATATTTACCTTACCTGAGAATGTATTTCATTAAGCTACTCACCTCTCCATCAAACAAAGAGTAATTATCTTACATCACTGCCAAGATTTTTGTACATGCCACAAGTCTTGAACTAAATTCCCAATCCTACACATATTAACATGCACTGCACCACTTGTGATGTAAAAATCATTAAAATATAGCTTTCCAACAATAAGAGCGCACCACATTCTCTAAGTGCTGTTTGTTCGTTTGTTTTAAATTTTGCGCAAAGTTACACTATCTGCGCTAGCCGTTCCTAATTTATCAGTGTAAGACTAGAGGGAAGGCAGCTAGTCATCACCACTCATTGCCAACTCATGGACTACTCTTTTATCAACGAATAGTGGGATTGACCGCCACATTAAAATGCCCCCACGGCTGAAAGGGCGAGCATGTTTGGTGTGATGGAGATTCAAACCCGCGACCCTCAGATTGTGAGTCGAGCACCTTAACCACCTGGCCATGCCGGCCCGTATCTCTAAGTAAACGCTTTGGCCACTAACTTTCAACAAAAGCTAATTTTTGATGAGGTAAAGAGAAACACATCAGAAGGGTGACAGGTAAGTATCTAACTGAAATACATCTTCAGGTAAGAAAAACGTAACTCTCCAAGGAACTAAGAGCTAGAATCACAACTTGATAAGATGATGGAGAGGCTAGTGGAGACAAAGATGAATTCCTTTGTGAAATTATAGCAGGCAAAAATTAGATGGAATGTATCACCCACTGCCTAGTAAGGCATCACATCCTTCTCATGCAGAGAAAGTACTTCACCCAATACAACAGAACAAAAGGTATTGTGAAAAGAACCTTCTGTATAATTCTGCAGTAAGGAAGAATATTTGACAGTTTTTTTAATGAAACGTGTAAAAAACCCAGAAACAGTACTGTCAAAGATACCTGACCACAGATAATGGAACTCTACAGATTTGATTAAAAGGAACAATCACAGTTAAAACAAGGAATGTTCACTGACATTTTTGTTATCTTTCTTTCTCACTATCAAGAAAGACTACATTACCAATGGGAACAAAAATATAAAATAAGCAGAGGAACAATTCTGTAATTCTGAAGAAAAAAAAACATTTTAATAAAGTAGCACCAAGGACAAGAATGACCTTTACACAACCATGAACAGTTGAAGCAGTCAATCAACATTAGTCTTATTCATTACACAACCATGAACAGTTTAAACAGTTATTCAACATTTGTTTTGTTCATTACACAACCATGAACAGTTAAAACAGTTAGTCAACATTTGTCTTATTCATTACACAACCATGAACAGTTAAAACAGTTATTCAACATTTGTCTTATTCATTACACAACCATGAACAGTTAAAACAGTTATTCAACATTTGTTTTGACATTACACAACCATGAACAGTTAAAACAGTTAGTCAACATTTGTTTTGTTCATCACACAACCATGAACAGTTAAAACAGTTATTCAACATTTGTTTTGTTCATCACACAACCATGAACAGTTAAAACAATTATTCAATATTTGATTTGTTCATCACACAACCATGAACATTTAAAACAGTTAGTCAACATTTGTTTTGTTCATTACACAATCATGAACAGTTAAAACAGTTAGTCAACATTTGTTTTGTTCATCACACAACCATGAACAGTTAAAACAGTTATTCAACATTTGTTTTGTTCATTACACAACCATGAACAGTTAAAACAGTTATTCAACATTTGTTTTGTTCATCACACAACCATGAACAGTTATTCAACATTTTTCTTATTCATTACACTACCATGAACAGTTAAAACAGTTATTCAACATTTGTTTTGTTCATTACACAACCATGAACAGTTAAAACAGTTATTCAACATTTGTTTTGTTCATTACACAACCATGAACAGTTAAAACAGTTATTTCACAAAGGTTGATTAGTTAAAGTTACAAAGGTTGACTAGTTAAAGTTCATATCTAGTCTCTGTTCTGTTCATTGAACGTATAGCTAATCATCCTTTTATTTTCATTCTACCAGTTGCAATAAACTTATGTTTCAGAGAGAAAATTTAATTTTCTTTCATATTAGAACCTAAGTCCATAATTCATACTTTTTAAAGAAGCTGTAAATAACAAATATATTTCTTACGTATTAGAATAAGCAGACAAATGCTTTAACTTAGAGTGATCTACAGTTGTTTAACGTATCAATGAGACTGTCCGTGCTGCATAACTGTATAAATTAGTCTACTTCTAATAACTATGAAGTTTTTTAAACTCTAGTTCCCAGATGATTTCTACAATTCCTTCATCACCTAGAGATATTGCTGTATATTTAAGTTCATATTTTGTAAGCTACTGTCTCCAAACAAAACAGAAGTTTTTAATTCTGACCCAGAAGTTAAATGTTAGGTGTAAATGAAATACAATTATCATCTTGATGGTTCGTAATAAGAAGTATCTGAACTGCTAGGTACTTCTGATGAAGTTTCTACTGACTAACCTAAAAGCATGAAATAAATGTGAGTTCACCATGACCTTAAGTTGTCTTCAGTGCGATTCTTTTTTCTATATATAGGTCACAGTTTATAAAAGACAACACAATGGTTAGAACTCAACATTATTGTGGTAAGTTTTGTATTACACATTAAAGTTCGGTGTTTAAACAAAACAACATGTAAAGCACATGTTAGATGTATCTGAAGTATTACCCCTTCTCTAAACACTATTTGAAATGGTTCAAATTTCTCAGTCATTTCTGGAGAACTGTTACAACAGGAGCTGAAACTATATTAGCTTTAGAAAGTTAAAATTAATAACAAGCTCAATATCATGAAATGTAGTTTACATTTATAATCCGTACATTAGAGATAGCTAACACTACTTTACCTTAATTATTACTATTTTAGTAGATGTTTCCATCAGCAAAGTTACTGTTAAACTACACTATACAGCTGTTGTCACTATTTACTGTTGAACTACACCATACAGCTGTTGTCACTATCTACAGTTGAACTACACTATACAGCTGTTGTCACTATCTACTGTTGAACTACACTATAACACACTGTACATCTGTTGTTACTATTTACTGTTGAACTACACTATACAGCTGTTGTAACAATTTACTGTTGAACTACACTATAACACACTGTACATCTGTTGTTACTATTTATTGTTGAACTACACCATACATCTGTTGTCACTATCTACTGTTGAACTACACTATAACACACTGTACATCTGTTGTCACTATTTACTGTTGAACTACACCATACATCTGTTAATATTTACTGTTGAACTACACTATAACACACTGTACATCTGTTGTTACTATTTACTGTTGAACTACACCATACATCTGTTAATATTTACTGTTGAACTACACCATACAGCTGTTGTCACTATCTACTGCTGAACTACACTATACAGCTGTTGTCACAATTTACTGTTGAACTACACTATAACACACTGTACATCTGTTGTTACTATTTACTGTTGAACTACACTGTACATCTGTTGTTACTATTTACTGTTAAACTACACCATACAGCTGTTGTCACTATCTACTGTTGAACTACACCATACAGCTGTTGTCACTATCTACTGTTGAACTACACTATACAGCTGTTATCACTATTTACTGTTGAACTACACCATACAGCTGTTGTCACTATCTACTGTTGAACTACACCATACAGCTGTTGTCACTATCTACTGTTGAACTACACCATACAGCTGTTGTCACTATCTACTGTTGAACTACACTATACAGCTGTTGTCACTATCTACTGTTGAACTACACCATACAGCTGTTGTCACTATCTACTGTTGAACTACACTATAAAACACTGTACATCTGTTGTTACTATTTGATATTGAACTACACTATAATTATAACACACACTGTACTTCTGTTGTTACTATTTAATATTGAACTACACTATAATTATAACACACACTGTATTTCTGTTGTTACTATTTAATATTGAACTACACTATAATTATAACACACACTGTACTTCTGTTGTTACTATTTAATATTGAACTACACTATAATTATAACACACACTGTACATCTGTTGGTACTATTTAATATTGAACTACACTATAATTATAACACACTGTACGTCTGTTATTACTTTTAATATTGAACTACACTATAATTATAACACACACTGTACTTCTGTTGTTACTATTTAATATTGAACTACACTATAATTATAACACACACTGTACTTCTGTTGTTACTATTTAATATTGAACTACACTATAATTATAACACACACTGTACATCTGTTGTTACTATTTAATATTGAACTACACTATAATTATAACACACACTGTACATCTGTTGTTACTATTTAGTATAAAGTTACCTAAATAAATATTTATATGTAGAACTTTTTTCACCTAGAATATAGATAATTCTGGGGCTGAGGTTAAAATATATGTATGATACAAAAGAAAATTACAACTAACACATGTTAATTACAATAACATGGCTCTGACAACCATCATGGTTTAATAAAAGATGCAAAATTTTGAGTTTTCACATTTTTATTCAGGCATTCTTGAGACAATACAAAATGAACGACTTTAATGGCTAGTGCTTATATATATGTAAGTTCCAAGACAACTTGTAGAAAACAGCATTTTAAACGTTTATTAAACACATATTTTGAGTTTTCACATCTTTATTCAGGCATTCTTGAGACAATACAAAATGAACGACTAATGTCTAGTGCTTATATATATGTAAGTTCCAAGACAACTTGTAGAAAACAGCATTTTAAACGTTTATTAAACACATATTTTGAGTTTGTTAGTTTCATTATGATATAAACATATTGTGACATACCCGACAGGGAAATGAATTTTTTAAAGTATTAAAAACAAATAATATGAATAAGGAATGTATTGTATTTTTTTATGAACGAACAAATGTTCATGTTTATGATATTTTTTTCTATCCCCCTACATATATTCTTGTCTTTAGTGTTACCTCCCTCAAGTGAGTAAGATTATTTTGATATGAAATACGTGTTTGATTTCTCCAGATAATGGTCACACTTTTTATGAAATTCACATCGAACAATCATATTGAACATCGAACCAAACTTGTTAACAATGTTCAGACATAAAACATGTACAGTATGCCAGTTTATACTTTGTAGAGGTGAAAATACTTTCGAATACATAAAAAAAAATCAACGATTTTTTAACATTGTTTGAATTCCTTTTTTAAGCTATAAGATTCAAATATTCAGAAGTTTAGAAATCAGTCATTTAAGCCTAACAAAAATTAGAGTAATATTAGTTTTATTATTTTATCAAAATAATCATTGTTTATTGATAAAAAGAATTAAAGTATCATTTTATTAACCTAACAAGATAGTTCTTGTTATTCTTTTAACTTAGCTTAACACTCAAAAAGTACTAAAAATTTTCACTAGGTGGACATCTAGGCTTAGCATTAATTTTATTATATACTCTGTATAATAGAAATTATTATTATTTATTTTCATTTATAAACAACTTTTTTGTAAAATATATGAACAAAGTTACCAATTGGCTGAGATAAGATCTAAACTTATACTGTATGTGTAAGAAATGCCATGAATGTTACTTATTCCAAGTGTTTCACAGTAAGTCATAGAAATAGTCCAACCCTTGGCCAACTTCCCAAATAGATACACCAGTACCAAGTTCTTGAGCCAGGTGGAGTCGAACATCAATAGAATAGAGAGTTGGATAAAACAACGTGTGTCTGTCGTTTTCTTCTGCCCTGTAAAGACATAAAGACAAACAGTTTAGCAACTTAGAAGTTATATACAAATAAAACATTTAAACAAGTGCAAAATTACAGAAGAAAAATTCAACTCTGATGAAACTGAAACAAAACTTTTCAGTCCATATCCAACAATTAAAAATTCAACCCTGATGAAACTGGAACAAAACTCTTCAGTCCATATCAAACAATTAAAAATTCAACTCTGATGAAACTGGAACAAAACTCTTCAGTCCATATCCAACAATTAAAAATTCAACTCTGATGAAACTGGAACAAAACTCTTCAGTCCATATCCAACAAATAAAAATTCAACTCTGATGAAACTGGAACTAAACTCTTCAGTCTATATCCGAAGAGTTTTGTTCCAGTTTCATCAGGGTTGAATTTTTAATTGTTAAGTCCATAT